GATACGCTGGTTGTCCTGTGTGGATCGGCTGGCCAATTTCGAACATGTATTGACAGCGTGGATAGGATGCCTGGTGCTACCACGACGCAGTCTCAGTGAGCAGTGCTAGGCTGGAGAAAGAGGAGAGAGAGAGATGAGAGAGAGAGAGAGAGAGAGAAAGATAGAAGATAGAAGAGAGAGAGAGAGAAGAGAGAGAACGAGAGAGAGAGAAGAAGAGAGACAGAGAGAAAGAGAGAGAGAGAGAGGAAGAGAGAGACAGAGAGAGGACCGATGAGAGAAAGAGAGAGACACGAGACAGAGAGTAGCGTCACAGGCGAAAAGAGAGAAATGACAGACAAGAGAGAGAGGTAGATAGATAGATAGATAGATAGAGAGAGAGAGAGAGAGAGGGAGAGAGAGAGTGCGCAGAGAGACAGACACCAGAGAGAGGAGGTATAGATTAGAGAGAGAGACACACAACGCAGAGAGAGAGAAGACGGAGAGAGAAGAGAGAGAAGAGAGAGAGAGAGAGAGAGAGAGACGAGAGGGAGAGAGAGAGAGAGAGGGAGAGAGAGAGAGAGAGAGAGAGAGCGAAAGAGAGAACAGAGAGAGAGAGAGAGAGAGAGAGAGAGAGAGAGAGAGAGAGAGCGACGAGAGAGAGAGAGAGAGAGCGAGCGAGAGAAGGTAAGATAGAGAAGAGAAGAGTAGATAGAGAGAGAGAGCGAGAGAGAGACAGAGAGAGCAGAGAGATCGAGAGAGAGATGAGAGAGGTGAGAAGAGCTCGCGCGCAGGCAGTGCAAACACGTGTATAGGCGGATATCTACGCGTCGACGCATACGTCCAATTTATTCTCCGAGTTTACTATAACAATGGCTCGACAACTGACGACAGCACGCGGCAGCCTGTCCACATCGTACATGAAGTGACAAGCTCCCGTGAGTGCGACTGAGAGCTCTGTGAGAGCTCTGTGAGATCGATAAAAGTGATATTAGAGTATTATAGATAAAAGTGGGGGAGGGGACGGGAAAATGGAGGGTGAGGACCGAGGAGGAAGAACGGAGAGGTGGAAGAGGGAGACAGAGGAAGGTGGAGAGAAGAGGTAGGGGTAGACGCATGGTGGGCAGGGAGACGATGGGAGGGCTGTAGCGGAGCAGGATATGAGTATAGAGAGGCAGGGAGAAACGCGAAGTGGGATGAGCGAGCGAGGTAGAATCAGGAGCGGGAAGAGTGAGGACGTCTAGCATGCAGGGCTGTAGGATGAAAACAAAACGGGGGCTGCGGGTGCGTGGTGCTGCACATATAGTAACGATCGATCTGTAATTATTTATAGATCGATGTCGCGCGGCATATGACGCGCTGCACTGCCGTCTGGGACAGACTGTTGCTAGCGTAGAAATAATATAGATAACTAGGTCATATATAGATAGAGGAGGGGGATTTGAACTTAGCACTCGAATGTGCGACGCACGTCAATTTTAAAGCGTGTTTTCTTGTACCATAGAAGGCTTGGTGTTGTACAAGGAACGTTCGCAGCCACGATTGATCGCACCTACCATAACGAACACAGGCTCGGCACCTCGTGGCAAGGTGCATGGTTAGTATAGCGGTCGTTGTCAGTGAAAGACCGTGATTTGGTAACATGATACGGCTAGCTAAGCGAAATATTTATCCACACGTCGCATCGGATAGTAAGTCTGCAATGATGGGTCCACGTGTTATTTACGTCTATTTTACCAAAGTGCATGAGCGCGTTTGGCTTTGTTGCAAACACTCACTGCATGCGAAAGAACGGTTAGCCGTTAACACCTACAGTATATATGATCTCTGTTATATTTCTAGAACGAGTATTTCTATCAACAAAAATTCAATCAAAGTTAAATCCTCGTTAGACAGGCAATTCAATTCCAAAAATATTTCGTTTGATCATAGATATACAAACACTGGACTATGATCAATCATATTGCGCGATGCGGTGTCACCGAG